TGACCTCTCCCAGATCTTCACCGAGACCATGCCCACTGACCATGGGTGACCCCAAGGCTCTGTCCTGTGCCCTCGGCTCACCTCCCTCCACATGATCTGGGTTGGTGCCCTCATTAACTCCCAGGGGGCACATGATCAAGTGTAAGCAGATGCTTCCTGGGTCAACAGATCTAGTCTCTCTCCTGAACTACTGACCCTAGTCATCCCCTGCCTTTTGAACATCTCAAATGCACCAAATATCTCACAAGCACATCCAACTCAACCTGTCCAAGTCAGGACTTGGTCTCTCCCCTGAGACCCTTCCTGATCCCCAACTTTCCCCGTGCTGTGCTGGGCATCACCATCCTCCCTGTCACTCAGGCTCAGTCTCTGAGGTCATCCAGGGCTCCTCTCTCTCACTCATCCCCCTCCCCCAGGTCTCATCTGTTGTGAAATCTCATCTTTTCTCCTCCCATCTCATCCACACAGCCCCTTCTCCACTCACACTGCCACTGCCCCAGTACAGGCTCCTGCCTGGACGCTGGTCTCCCTGCCTCCAGCCTCTCTTCACTGCAATCCACCTTCCACTCAACCTCCAGAGGGCTTTTCCTCAAGCCTGCTCTGACCTTGTTCCTCCCCTACTCTAGAAGCAACAATGGCTCCCTACTGCCTCCAGGACCCAAGAGAAAGTCCTCTGGTATTTGCACCTGGCCCCTGCAGACCTTCCCAGGGTCCCTCCCCCTTTACTGCTACTCCCCTCCCAGCACTGGACCCTCTGGCTTCACTGGGCTCCCGGCTGTTCCTCTCCCACAACCCTCCACTTCCCAACCATGTGGGCCATCCCCCAGACCTGGTAGCCTCTGCCAGGCCTTCCCTCCCCAAGGCTCAGCTCAGATCTCACCTTCTGCAGGAGGCCTTTCCCCGCCCCCTCCTCCCCAGATGACCTTTCACATCCTCTACAGGCACCTGCTGGGGAGGGTTCAATACCTTTACTCGGCCTCCTTACGAGCCTCCCCACCACTTGGTTAAGTGTAGACAACCAGCAAAGCCACACACGGACCCCGCTCTGCCCAAATGAAATGGATGAATGAAACACACAAGGAAAATGTCACAACCGGCCCGTTCCTGCGGCCCCCGCACCCCTGCTCTGCGCAGCCACCCCGCCCCCGGCAGGGGGGCTCCTGCCTTTCAGAGGCACCCCGGACCCGACCCTGAGCCGGCACACAGGAGGCGCCCAATCAATGCCGGCTGACTGATCGATCCCAGCCTGTCCCCAGGACTCGGTCCTGGGCGGACCCCCTTCTCCTCCTTCTCGGGGGCTCCCTTGTCACCTCTGCAGGAGGACCCTCAGCTCCTCTCCAGGGCCAGCCCCCCCATCCTTTCTGGTGCCCGGCTTTGGGTTCGAATCCCGGCCCCCTCTTCTCCTTCTCCACTCCCGTCCCTGCCCGTTCTGTTCCTGCGCACATTCACTTTCATACTAAGACACACACACACACACACACACACACACACACACACACANCCACCTCTGCAGGAGGACCCTCAGCTCCTCTCCAGGGCCAGCACCCCCATCCTTTCTGGTGCCCGGCTTTGGGTTCGAATCCCAGCCCCCTCTTCCCCTTCTCCACTCCCGTCCCTGCCCGTTCTGTTCGGGCGCACACTCACTTTCATACTCAGACACACACACTTGGACACCCTCACACATTTACACACTTTCGTATGAGGGAGCGCTCATTCTCAGAAACTCCGGTCCCCGAGGGAGCGCCTAGACGCGCACACGCAAGACAAAAACACGCACACAGGCGCATCCACAGGAAACGCACCCATATTTCTTCACACTTTCACCTGAGCGCAAACTAGAACTCACTTTCACTCACGCACCCTTTTGGGCCAGCACACCCTCCCGCCAAACGCGCACCCTCCTCCCTTCCCCTCCCCTCACCGGCCAGTAGCGTGAAGGTTCGCCCCTTACTGGGGTCTCCGAGAACCGGGCCGCTTCCTCATCCAAGTACTGCGCCTGCGCGGAATCTGCCCGGAACTACAATTCCCAACAGGCCTCACGATCCGGGGAGGGGCGGGGCGGGACGTCCCGGCCGCTGGAGACCTGGGAAACCCCAGGGCCGGGCTGGAGCGTTTTCTGCAGGTGGATGCTGGGAAATGGATGCGGGTCCAGCTTCCATGGTCATTTCTAACTCCTAGGAAAACTTCTCTGGGAAGGGGGCTCATGGAGGCTGCTTCTGCGCAGGCCCAGGGCCCAGGGCCCAGGGCCCTGCCCAGAGGCGTGGCTCCAGAGCCGGGGGCGGGGCCTCTGTACACGTCACTCATAATGAACCCTGCGGGTGGGCGGGGGGGGGCTGAGTGGGTCGCGCCGGGCGCCTTAGCAACAGTAGCACCGAGGCGGAGACGCCAAAGTGTCCGAGTGTGCGTGTACCCGCTGGGCGGACAGGGCTCCCTACATCCTTCCTGCTGCACTGGGGGGCCCTACCTGGAAGACAAGAGGGGGTGTCGTGTGTGCGTGTGTGTGTGTGACACGGAGAGACTGAAGCGTGTTTGAGGGATGAAGTCTGTGTGTGTCTAACCCAACTCCATGGAACTGATGGGGAGTGTGGAGTGGACAGGTTGAGAACGGATGCAACCCAGCGTCTCTGGGACCCTCTGACGGTCAGTTCCAGGGCCTCTTGGTCAATGCGACCCTGCCTCGTGATCCCCAGGCTCAGTGTCTGTACGACCGGTATCACTAGTCCTGAGAAAGCAGTGCTGAGAATGAGCTGAGGCCAGAGGAGATTGATAATGCAAAGGCTGGAGATCATTAAGTTACACTGAGGAAAAGAGAAACAAAAAGCCACACAACCACAACATTGGGAGAGAAGGAACAATGATTATGCATGTCAGGAAGAAGGCAAAGATGCATGCCCAAGTCCTCCTGGATATCTTTCTGCATAGGAGAATAAAGTTTGGAATGGAAGGAACAGAACCAAGGCTAGAGGGGAGTTCAGACCCAAAATAAATGTCTCCAGTGGCATCGAGGCTAAACTGTTCTTGTTGAGTTCAAGACACCAGCTCAGATCAGTGTCTGCCAGGCTTCTCAAAGTATGTTCGTGAATGTGATTGCTGAGCCACTGCGGTTGATTTTTGAAAAACCAAGAGGAGGAGGAATTACTGCTGCCCAAATAATCTTCCTAATGCTGCTTTCTAATCATATTACTCTTTACTAAAAAAAAAAAAGTTTCAGTTCTCCCACATTGCCTTTTAAGTGAAATTTAAACTCATTGTACTGGAATTTGTAGGGGCTTCATGATCTGGCCCATATATTTGCCTTCTAGCCTTACCTCTTACCACTCTTCATGTACACAACATCCTAATCAAACTGAGTAGAAAGAGATGAAAACTTAGGCTTAATGTAAGAAAAAAACTAGAGCTAGGAAACTATGTACTGGACACCCTCGGTGGAACTGCAAATTTGTCTATGTGTTATTCTGGAAAGCAGTTTGTGATTGTACCCCAAAAGTTGTTAATTGTGTATGTCCTTTGACCCAGAGATACTACTACTACTACTACTACTACTACTACTACTACTACTACTACTATTATGGGTGTTCAGAGAAGACTAGCACCTCTGCTGTGAAGGCTGCCAAGCCCTTTTCAGGGTTGCTCATCCACCTTTGGTGTCCACCTCTCACCCTATTCTCACTTGTGGCTCCAAGAAGCTGTAGCATATGCAGTGGCCACACCTCAGTAAAACTATCTCAGCAGATGGGCTAAACCTGATTGAGGGCCATTGAAAGGCCTCATATCTCTCAGTGTGTTAGGACTGTGTCTACCCTAAGCATCTGGTGACGTCCCGCTTGGAATGGGCAGATGAAAACCATTCATTCCAAAGGTCATGAAGGTGGCTGAAGTAGGCACTGTGGAGTGCTTAGAGCTTGGTCAGGCATCAAAGAAGGTCATCCACTGCATCCTGGGTCATTGCCAGTCATCCTAACTTTTGTGCTGCCACTAGACTTTGATGACTGAAAGAGTGAGGCTGAAGACTTTGCAACTTTGCCTCATTTAAATCCAATTCACATATGAGTCAAGTGGTCCTCTTTGAAAAGAACCTCCCCCCCAAAAAAACAACACTATTAGACATATACCCCAAAGAGAAAAAAAGAGGGAAAGGATCCAGGGGGACAAAAATATTCATAGCAGTTCTTTTGTAGTAGTAAAGAATTAGAACCAAAAGGGATGTCCATTAATTGGGAAATGGCTGAAAAAATTATGGTATATAAATGTAAAATAATTTAAGAAAAAAATGGACTGATTTTCTCTATCTCACCCAGGCTGGAAGTACAGGGGCCAGGGAAGCTTTTATCTACTCTGTTTTCTGACCTGACCAGGTTCAGCCTTCCTTAGGCAACTTGGTGGCTTCCTGTGGGGATGGGGTGGGGTTCACTATATTGTTAACAGACTTAGTGTTTAGCTTACTGTGGTTCAGAACTCCCTACCTCTAGGGATGTTAGAATCAGCATGGGTGGCTAGGATTATAGGTGTCCATCAATAAAATATTAATGTTACACAAGAAATTAGGAAATGGATGGATTCAGAGAAACCTGGGAAAACCTGTAAGCTCTTATGCAAAGGGAAGTGAGCAAAAGCAGAACAAATTTATACAATGGCATAAACATGATAGAGAAAAACAGCTTTGAAAGACTCAAGCACTAATATGGGGGTGTACTGATCTAGGCCAACTCCAGAAGACTCATGATGAACTTTGCATTTTCAGACATGGACTACATATGAATCTGTTTTGTGTGACTATGTGTACTTCAAGGAGAATTTTTTTTAAATACTGGTGAAAATTGGAGAGGAGAATTGTGGAAGGAAAGAACAGCTAGTAGCAATACAGGGAAAAAAAGTGTCAAGTATGTTTAAATGTGAAGAAACAGTACAGAGCCTCAAAGAGATAGAGACAAGAGAGGCAGCTTTTGGAGCTAAGGTGCTGACAGTATCCATATATATGTTATATATGACATATACATTGTAAATATACACACATTCTTTTATGTGTTTGTATCTATCTTGTAATAGCATATCCCTAGACAAAGAGCATCAGGATTCCTCAAAGTTTTGTCTGCTCTGCTTCTCTTCTTTCTCTTACTTTTCTCTCTCCTTTTCTCCTGTCTGTCACCTATCTCTGTCTCTCCCCTTCTCCTTTGTCTCTGTCTCTCCTGTCTCTTAAGCCTTGCCCTCTCCCAAAGTCCCCTATGCCCTCCAAGGCCACCACCACTGTGTGGGACAACAGCCACACTAGAATTAAAAGTTTGGAGGCTGAGTCAGAGATCGGAAAAGGTTTTATTCTTTCTCATGAGAAAGGGCAGAGCTCTCATCGCTCAAGCAGCGACAGCCAGGGAGTGCAAAGTCTATTAGTGGGGAACAAAGTTTTATAGTCCTAACGTGATACCCCCTCCCCATTCCTGAACCCTTCTTCCCATTGGTTGGGTTTCAGGGTGCACAATCTAAACGCTGCTTTCTAAGACCCTTACTACAATAATATCCTTATTTGGAAATATTTGCCTAGAAACAAAGGATCGGGAAGACTTTTGATAACCATTTAGAAGTTCTGCCCAGAGACAAAGGCTCCGGAAGACTTTCCATAACGGGTTGAGAAGTCCCGCCTAGAGACAGATAAGCAGGAAGCCTTTGGAGGTCAGGCTAGCAGTCTTTTGCAATCTTCACCTTGCTATAGGAATTGGAGCACAGGTTAGCTCTTGCTTAATGCACAGCAAATGTTTGCAGATTCATCAATGATGAATCTGCAAACATTTGCTGTGCATTAAGCAAGAGCTAACCTGTGCTCCAATTCCTATAGCAAGGTGAAGATTGCAAAAGACTGCTAGCCTGACCTCCAAAGGCTTCCTGCTTATCTGTCTCTAGGCGGGACTTCTCAACCCGTTATGGAAAGTCTTCCGGAGCCTTTGTCTCTGGGCAGAACTTCTAAATGGTTATCAAAAGTCTTCCCGATCCTTTGTTTCTAGGCAAATATTTCCAAATAAGGATATTATTGTAGTAAGGGTCTTAGAAAGCAGCGTTTAGATTGTGCACCCTGAAACCCAACCAATGGGAAGAAGGGTTCAGGAATGGGGAGGGGGTATCACGTTAGGACTATAAAACTTTGTTCCCCACTAATAGACTTTGCACTCCCTGGCTGTCGCTGCTTGAGCGATGAGAGCTCTGCCCTTTCTCATGAGAAAGAATAAAACCTTTTCCGATCTCTGACTCAGCCTCCAAACTTTTAATTCTAGTGTGGCTGTTGTCCCACACAGTGGTGGTGGCCTTGGAGGGCATAGGGGACTTTGGGAGAGGGCAAGGCTTAAGAGACAGGAGAGACAGAGACAAAGGAGAAGGGGAGAGACAGAGATAGGTGACAGACAGGAGAAAAGGAGAGAGAAAAGTAAGAGAAAGAAGAGAAGCAGAGCAGACAAAACTTTGAGGAATCCTGATGCTCTTTGTCTAGGGATATGCTATTACAAGATAGATACAAACACATAAAAGAATGTGTGTATATTTACAATGTATATGTCATATATAACATATATATGGATACTGTCAGCACCTTAGCTCCAAAAGCTGCCTCTCTTGTCTCTATCTCTTTGAGGCTCTGTACTGTTTCTTCACATTTAAACATACTTGACACTTTTTTTCCCTGTATTGCTACTAGCTGTTCTTTCCTTCCACAATTCTCCTCTCCAATTTTCACCAGTATTTAAAAAAAATTCTCCTTGAAGTACACATAGTCACACAAAACAGATTCATATGTAGTCCATGTCTGAAAATGCAAAGTTCATCATGAGTCTTCTGGAGTTGGCCTAGATCAGTACACCCCCATATTAGTGCTTGAGTCTTTCAAAGCTGTTTTTCTCTATCATGTTTATGCCATTGTATAAATTTGTTCTGCTTTTGCTCACTTCCCTTTGCATAAGAGCTTACAGGTTTTCCCAGGTTTCTCTGAATCCATCCATTTCCTAATTTCTTGTGTAACATTAATATTTTATT